TCACTCCCAAAGTTGCACTTAGAGTTTGATAATAAACTAAGATGAGTGAGTTAGTTAGTGTTCTAGCTTTAGCGACATTGTAAATAGTATAGTTTACATTATGTTTAATAAAGCACACATAACTAACCTGACAGTGGGTTAAAAAAAAAAAAAAATAAGTTAGTTATTATATAAAAGTTTATGTAATATTGTAGATGTTGGATTGATATCTCAATAAAAGACATGTTATGATAACATGATTAAGAGTTAAAAAATAATTTCTTCTAATTAAAAGAAACTTTTATCTTTTGATTTAAGAAATTTCTGATTATCAAAAATATTTTGTAATATTTTTTGATAGACAAAAGAACTATAAATAGTTGATTTCTCTTTTTTTTTGCCATAGAAATAAAAAATAGCACTTGATTTGTTTAAAAAGATTTTTAAAATTGGTTTAATGAAGTGATAAAACTTATCAATCTAGAAATCATAAAATTTCATTTTTGTATGCAATCAGAAAATTAATTTCTCTCTTATTCAATAACGATTGACCGGTTATGCTGTACGCAAATGGGATGAAGTTGACCGAATCGGTTAAAAAAGATCAAATTAGGTTCATAATCAATGTTTGCTTTTTCTTTTAGGGACTTGTAAATTCTCAGCCACTTTGTCTATGCGTATTATGAGAATGAATTCCCTACAGACATGTTTCGCAAATTTGACAAAAAGACGTAGAAGGCGAAGTCTCATGTTAATGGTGTCCGGAACTAATCATATAAATATAATAAGTAAATAAAAGGTTTAATGAGTCGCAGAATTTATTCACAGCGCGATATGAATGCGTAAATGAAATAAGAAATCACTTTCTTGATTGGTATAACTTTAATTATGCATAAATCGTGGTTTGCATAAATTAAAAAATACACACGATAGCGCCACTTAAATAGTAGAATTAAAGTAATTATGCGATGGCTCGATTCATTTTACCTTTGAAATATTGCTTTTTCGAATGACCATTTGTTTATTTATCTCATTTTGTTTTCGTGCGTACCGTGTGAATCATCCGGTCTATTAACAACAGATCATTGCATAATGAATGAACCAAAGGGTGCTTGCTGTGTGTTGAAAGAAAATTCTGTAGAACAAACTTATGCTTAACGAAACATCCAATAAAACATCACATACGATAGTAGAAGAAATTGAGTTGAATAATATTTGCAAACAAAAATAATTAATTAATCCATATATATGTAAATAATAAATTCGCGTATATGCAGTATACTGTAATTAAGTGTATTTGGTAAGGGATAAAAAAAAAATAATAATAATAATAAGTATTTCCAAAGGAAGTAATCACTTTAGCCAAAAAAAATGTCTTGTATATTCTATTTTATGTTTCATCTAATAAAAAAAAATTTTTATTTTTTTGATTTTTATAATTTAATTTTATTATGTTTAATATAAAAATTAATAAGTTGAACAATTTAATTTAAAACTTAATATGATAAAATTCCCAGATTTTTTCTTTTAACATACATACAGTATAGCGTATTCAACATATATAGCATATGCTGCACACAATTGCATCATGATCTGCTAAAGACATTTGCTCATAAAAAATTCCCAACAATAACGACAATTGACAGTATATATTAATTAAAAAAGAGGTGAGATCGCATTTCCAACGAAGGTTGCAAAAGAAAACGAAAACAATCAACTGCCTTATTTTTTTTAACAATATCAAGTCTACAGTACGATAATTAAAATGGGGTAAAACTACTGCATCCGTCATTCATGTCAAGCGTATGTACGATAAACCCGAATAATGTGGTGTGAAAAGTTTTGCCGTCATCGGTAACTAGACGGGACTCGCAAATATCCGTAGTGCCAAGTAATACTGGTGACTGCCGTAGTCAGACTCATCATAATTTAGGCGCAACTGAGACGTTTCGCTGCTCTAACCCATGTCTTCCGTGTAGTACTGGAGCAAATCCTTGATCGCCTAACATACATATATTCATACGTAATTATTAAAAAGTTTGCCTTTTATATTGCGCTCGCCACGCCACTAATGGATCAATGAAAGTGCGTACATACAAAGCAAATTTTTAGCCCAATGACATTACTGTTGGGCGAATAATTTTCTATGTTGATTATTATGATGATGCATTTTCTGATTCTGCACAGTTTATTTTATATGCTTTGATTCTGCACAGTTTATTTTATATACGCACCGTGCATATTCGCTTGATTAACAGGTAATTGCTGATTAGATAGTGAGTCAGAGCGAGAGGCCTACGTGCAAAATGCTAGTAGAATACAAAAATCAAAATTTATACTTGAATTCTAAATGCATAAATTATGGAACGTCGCACAATGAACTTTTTCAAAGTATTCACTATTGTCTTTCCCTTTTATGTATTTCATCAGGTTATAACATTATGTAATATGATATATCATTTCAAACCCCCCCTTTTTTTTAATTTCATCTATTTTCTAAACTCCTCACCTCATCGCTTCTCCATCTTCGCCATTTTCATTTTTTTCGAAGCAAAGACTTTTTTCAATCACGATAGAAAACTTGGAGATATAAAGTGGAAATCTTTTTAAATAAAAAACTTTTCTATCAAAAAAAAAAAAAAAAAATATATATTCTTCTATCGAAATTAAAGAATACCTTGACATACAAGCGCGCAACAATGAAGTTATCAAAATTTTTTTCTTCGACTACATCAAATAAACTTCGTGGACCAATTCGTCAGAAGCAGCAACAACAACAACAATTACTATTAAACAACAATAATCCTAATCATGGCGTTAGAGACGCTATTTCAAGTCCCACCATCGACGCACAAAACAATAGACCGCCAGTTTTTCATTTAACTCCCTCCTCCCCGCCAACAAGTCCGACAAAATTGTATCACACCAATAATTACTTTCCCCAACGAACGAAATTCAACGCAAACAGGTCGAACGTTTCCGTCACCAAAAGATCTCTGAACACCACATCGCAGCATGTCGCCAGAACATTAAGTAATCCTACCTGGACTGATCATCCTACACCAGTGTTTCTTTATAATTCGCCAAACTCTTCGACACATTCTTTGGTCGAACAAGAAGAAGAGGATCTAAATGAAAACATTTTCTATAGGACATTAAAGAAAGATTATCCAAAAATATTTGACGGAGTTACCGTTGTCTGCGTACCACATTCCAGAAGTATCGTCGGAATGAAGATTAATCGTAATTTTATTGGTACGTAATTAAACAAAAAAAAAATCAAATCTAGTGTAACGTAACACACACTCAGCGTGAAAATCATTACGTCATTTGTCTATCGTTATCAAATTTAGAGACACATTCGCTGAAGCCTTCGCCGTATTTTCAGGGACAGTTTCAGAGTGTCAACAAAAAAGTCATAGCCATCGAAAAAAATTGGGTAAAATTAATATCAGGTAATGTTTATAAAGTTTAGGTTATAATAATTCAAAATAAATTTTTCTGATTTTTTTTTTTTCCTTTTTTCCAAAAAAGGCTTTAAAGAGGATCGAAATATACGCATACTAAGCGAGGAACTAGTATACAATGAATCCTACAAGTCTATACAAGTTTTAATATTGGAACGTCCGCTGGAGGGGGAAGGAAAATCGACCGATAGCAATTATCCAATATTGAGTATACCAACGGAAAGGAATTATGAAATGGACTTAAGGTTTCTGAAGGATATATTGGATAACGATAACCCCATAAAGGATCTTGAGAATATGGTTGAGGAGTTTAACGAAACCTATGTATATGTTAAGGGATATTCTGGGTTTGCAGTGGAAAGAATAACTCAGATATTTCAGAGAGCCGTTAGGGTAAACAAATATATATATATATATTTTTTTTTTTATCTATTTTTTTTTTTTTTTTTACAAGAAGATTGAACGATATCAATAAATATTCCTTAGAGCATACTACAATCCAATGGCACGATAAGAGCCATTTGCCGCACGCAGCATGAGTATGATCAACTCCAAGAACTTATTGAGAAGTAAGTATTCCGTGTTTGTCGCATGAATCTCTCGAAGTAGCACCGCGTACGTGCATTCAAACATCCTTTTCACACCATTTTTTTTTTTTTCCTTTTTTTTTCTGTAGTATTTTGATGGGTCAATTGCATAACAAAATATTCGTTCAATCTCTGTTACCAATATGTAATTCACGTGACTCATATCTCGATTCGATAATGAATGTATACTCTCGTGCTCAGGTGACATTAAGGGAGTATGGGGTATGCGAAAGATTACAGGACATGCCAACTGAGATGCTGGAAGCTGCGTCTGATATCCTTAGAGCCTTGAACGAAGATGACGAGACTGACATTGAAATCCTGGATAATGACATGACGAAATTTGCCGGTCTTGGAATATCCACCCATTCCAACGTAACCGATGATACGGACATTGGTAGCAATAGTAAAGGGGACGGTGGTAGCGGTAGCAATGACGGAATGATAATGATACCTGCAAAAACTCCACTGGAAAAATTGATTTGTGTCAAACGAACTGTGCAAGAGATTGCCACAATTTCCGACACCTATCTGACGCAGCTGGCCATTCCTAGAGCAATGCAGGAAGAAACGGAGAAATCATCGATCACTACGGATGACTTTATACCATTGCTCGCTTATGTTATTGTAAACAGTAGGATTCGAAAATTGGAGAGCATATTGTTTTACATGCAAACCTTTAGGTTATCTAAAGTCGAAAGATCGGAGTTGAGGTGAGCATTACAAATATATTTGCAGCACAAAGCTCCGTGACGCCCCATTTTATAGATCCTTACCCTCACTAAAATTTAATTTTCATAGTTTCGCTTTAACAACCCTACGAGCATCGACGGAATTCTTGAAGTCTGATCCGTTGCAACTTCACGATTCCATCTCAACCACCTCTTCAATCTCCTCAATCTCTTCCCATTCCTCGTATAAATATTCCTCCCCGACTTTACCAATAAAGAGTAGGGTACGTAGTCGTGCAACTTCATTATCCTCATCGTCCACTCCTATCTCATCGCCACCGGCATCATCTCAAACCGGTCACCTGAAGTGCTTGTCAATGCCAGGACTGGTCCAACAACCTTCATCATCATCAAGACGCGAAGATTCACCGGCGAGATCATTGAGTTCTGGGTTGACCAGTCCAAAAAGTTGCCATGGATATAGACATCATAATGTTGGCGACGAAGCAACATCTTCGGGAAGGTCAAGTTTGGACTTTGGCAATTCCAGTTTCACAAATTATAATCCATCAATAAATTCCGGCTACTCACTTTCCAACGAAGAGAACCTCGGTGATGCTGGCAGTCATAGTTCAATGCCGAGAAGACGTCGAGCATCGATTACTCCAGTATTGCTCATAAAGCCGCCGATAGTACTGATGCCCAGGAATTCACATCCCAGAAAAAGTCTCGATGGTGGACAAGGCGTTTCCAATACTCATGGTGGTGGTGGTAATGGTGAAAACGACTATGCGGTGAGTGGCACCGGTGCCAATGAGAATGAGTCAAGAGAAAGCGATACATACGATGATCAAGATAAGATAGGAAAATTACCACCGCTGGCCACAAAAAGTTCTTTGCTTAAATCGACATCAAGACCAAACCTCTCAACCACTGAATTTCACAGAAATAATGATAAGGGAGGAAGATCAAAGAGTTGGAGGCATTCGATTCATGCACCAGAAATTATCGCGGTAATACCGAGGCACACACATAATGGAATCATACATACAGGAAAACCTATTTTGGATCTTTCGCCACCAAATCCTGAAATTATGGGCGACTTCTTGAGTAGCCTACAAAATATTGATGGTGAGGTTTCTGGTAACAGAAACGAAGGGATGATGACCGCTAAGAGATGGTGACGGCTAATTTCCAAAGCATTGGATGTCAATGACATTGAGGTGTGGGTTTCCGAATCTGAAATAATTAATAACATAGGTGCACGCAAAAACATTTGCATCTAAGATGTTATTTATGAACTTTATCACTAAGTCTATATAGCAAAAATACTTTATATAAGTTCTCTGCATCAATTTACTGTATAAACTAAACATTTTTTACAACTATTCTTTATAGATCGATTAGGTAATTTTTCTTATATACTTTCATTCTTGTTGTACATATTCTTTACTGTTGATACATTAAATTTTTCGAAGGGTTATTTTTCCATTGGGGGGGGAAGGTTCATTCATAAAAAGGAAACAATACACGCATAAATGATCAAAGAGTAGCTTTCGCTTTTAAAATTCATATTAAATATTCGGGCTGGATTTCCCAAACTTTATTACAGTAAGAGCAATGTCTCATTTCGCCGTGCATCGATGTTGCCGATCATCGCCTTTTATGCACGGAGCTGCTGTTACATAGCATTTACGCGTGAGCGAAACTGGCGCAAGTTTTGTGTCCATGTGATAATTTATTATTGTGCAAGTATTAATACATGCAGTAGCTACGCAACACTTGATCGTCGATCTTTGATCAATCACGAATTAATGATTAATGGAGTATATGGTTTTTTTTTTAACTCGCAATCATGCCGTCAAGGCGTGTCTTTAACATTAAATAAATATCTAACTATGTTACCTTTCTAACGCTCCCCTGCCAGAAGTCACCGGACGTTGATCAATTTAAATAAAATCATCAAACAAAAAAAATCACCAAAGTTCTCTTTTGTACTATTATTAAGTGATACATTATATACAGTAAATTTTACATTGTTAAGATTAACAAAACCTGTGCTTTTTAAAACCATCAATTGTTTTTTACATTGTACTTGGATTGTTCTTGCAATGGCACAAAAATGTAAAGAGTTATTAAAAAACAAATAGTTTCAAATTATCAGTGCTTGAAAATATAGTTTTAAATCTTTTACCAATATAAAGACATTTAATATATTTAAATCAACTATTTGTAATATAATAAACCATTACAAAAAAACTGGTGAAATAAAATCTCTAATTTGAAAAGAAAGATCGGTTATATTAATAGATTATAATATATAAACTTATTACAAATCATCAAAAAAAATTACAAGACTATTTTAAATATTATATATAATATAATAAATTTATAAAATCAATTTCAATCAAAGTTAGTATATATATTTTACAATGAAAATTACATAAAAAAGATTATTACTGTATGTTCAATTTAATTGACAAAAACCATTTATTAATGAATAAATAAATTATTTTATAATTTTTAAATAATATTCTATTATTTAAAATAATGAATTTGATTTTTAAATATTTGAAAATAATAGATATAGTTATATTAATAGTTATTAAAGAAAAATATAATATAGATTGTTTTGTATCAATCTTTAAATCAAAAAAAAAAAAAGAAATATGATTTTAGATCACTTTATTATAGGTAGTTTAGATTTTTAAGTATAAATTAATTGATAACAAATTACAAAAATATATATACGGTTGCTTCCAAAAGTTTGAGTCCACTTACTATGTTTTTATTATAAATTTTAACTTTGACAATTTTTAAATTCTTAACTATACAATCAAAAATTATAAAATTTATATATATTATGTCTTAATGCTTAT